GGAAGAGGTACCTGAATGGGAAAATATAGAAAATTTATATGAAAAAAAATTAATGGCTACAGGTTTGTAATATATATAATGTTTTTAAGATCTGCTTTAAATCTCTAAAAAATTTTTGTTGTCATAAACTTTTAGGACAAAAAGTTTCAAGTATCATTGAGAAAATTAATGCGATGAAAACAGAAATTTCCAAAACTAAAACACCAAAATCTTCAAGTTCATCAGATAAAAAAAGTAAGAAATTAAAATAATATAATCCAGTTAGTGATTGTTTATTCATATTATTTAGCATGCTATAATATGATGCATGTTCAATAGAAAATCAGAAAAGTGCCATTAAGAGTTGGAAGGATAAGTGATATCAAAATAATTTTGACACACAACACTTTCAAGTCAGAGGCAACAATAAATGTGTCAAAATTACTATGATATTGCTCATCCTTGACTTACAATGACATTTTTCCAGTTTTGTATTGAATATGCCTTATATTAAGTTTACTCATGAGAAGATTTATTGTAGTAAATGATATATAAATTAATTATTTTGATTTAAAATGAAATTACAGATTTTCTCATTACATTTTGTTCAATGAGAATGAAATTTAAGTACACATTTTAAAATGATACTTGGATTTCATAATATTAATTATTGAAGCATTAGTGTTTTAATATGAATTAAAAATAAATTTAAAAGGAAATAAGTTTACAAAATTTAAAAGTACTTGAGCTGCATAATGTAATATAAACAAATATTTTAAAATAATCAATACTAATGATCCTGTGATATGATTTATAGTGATATGCAAATTTTTATGAATTGTTTATAGAAATCATAAAGATGAAATTATTTTACTAAAACAACAGTAAAGTTTTGAACTTTAAAAAGATTACATTTTATAACTGCTAATGACATTTTATAAAATGATGGAAAAATTTGAGGAAATAATTCAAGTTTTAAAACTATATGAGGAAAAACTGCAATTGTCATTTAGAGAATGACATCACTAGCTTACAGTGTTATATATTAGATGAATTTGTCTTTGATCTTTATCAAAAAGATAATGCAGAAACTTGTAAGATAGTTTTATTTCGAATTGCTATATTTTCATAAACTTTTTTGTTGAAGAGACATTTATGTTGAAGTGATTTGCACAAAACAGAAATAAGCAATTGATAATTGTGTAAGAAATGGAAATGGTCTTTATCTACTTAATTTACTTTGAAATAGAGCAGTGACTATCCATACTACAAAATGTTAACAAACAAATATTCCCACATAAATTTTTCCATATCATCTTACTTTTACTTTCAAGTAAAAATATTACATATGGAACATGATATGTTCCATATGTAATATCTGGCAAACTGAAATAAAACTGAATTGTTATTCTTTATGAACTGCAGCATTCTTGCTCTTTTTGACATTCAGGTATAATGATTATCATCATAGTGTTTGAGAGATGACACATTACCACAATGTCAAAATAATTGACTTATGTGCATTTCATAGATTGAGAACTATTATTTAGTATTTCACCATTATAGTCACACAACATCAAAGAATTAAATTAAATGATTATGGTGTCTATTACATATTCAAATGGTTTTTATGTATATAAGCTCTTAAAAATACACCAAGAAGCCAAAGTCATGGGATATGTACCTAATAACTGATTGATCCTCTTTGAGCCCTCAACAATGCAGCTACAAGTCAAAACATGAAGTCAACAAGTTAATGGTACTATTCAGNGCTGAGTTATTGTAGTTTTGTTTTCATCCTGTCCCTCAGATAATCTAAGAGGTTCATATGGAATCATAGGGTAAAGTCAGTAGAGTATTCCTCAAGCCACCTCCTTGCAACCAAAGATTGGTGACACATTGCATTATCTTGTTGGAATACCCTTCACTATCAGAGTGTTTGAGAATCATAAAGGGATGTAGGTAACCTGACTCCAGTTCAGATTATGCACAACTACCTTTCATTTATAAGAAGGTTGTCTTCTTACAAAGCTCTTTCTATGGTTTCTATGACCTTGTCTATCTTTCTCAAAGGTCCAGAAGTTGGTCCATTGACTTCACACTTCTTACAATTGAATTAATATAGAAAACATAATTAAGTTAAAACAAATCATATTACAATTGATTTGATATTTTAAAATTTATTACTTTTTAAAAATTGAAATTTTTCTGATATTGTTTATAAATAGATCTGATGTAATTATTTTTACATATAAATTTTTATAACTTTTATTTATATTTTCAAGAAAATTAAAATATAATTTTATTAAATTAGTGTTTAATTTAAGAGTAATAATAAAATAAATTTCTTTATTGTTTTTAATTAGAAAGATCTGAAAAATCTTTCTACAAAAATAAAATACAAAGAACAAGATATATATACAAATACCCAAAGAAATATTTAATAAAAAGAAGAGAAGAAAAATCAGCAAGTATAAGGTGATTATTTAGTTAAATTTAGTTACATTAAACATAATTTAGTGTTTAACAGTGTAATAACTACATATTTTAAAACATTTTAACTATCTTCTATGTATTTTTAATGAATATGAAATATTTTAAAATGAAGTTTTCAAAGATTAAATGTTCATTTTTTAAACAATGACTCTTTGTCAATGTTAATGTCAAAATCAAGAAACATTTTTTTGGTTAATGAAGATCACTATTTTACAACAGTCAAATCAATTATTCAGTTTTTACATAAAAATCAAGAGAAAAGAATTTAAATCATAATGAAAATTCTCTCTATTTTT